TTCTCTAATCCCTTAATTAATAACTTCATTTTATTAATATGTATGGAGTCTATACTTATATAAAAAGGGATCCTATTTACTAGAAATAGTATCCAAAAAAGTCAACTGCAATTAATCCTATTACTATTTCCAGCACGTATTTTATTTAATTATTTTATATTGAAATTAATGCTATGCGATTTAGTTTTATATTGAAATTAATGTTATTACTATTCTCATACAATCGGTTTTCCTGCGAAAAAATCCCACAAAATTGGCTTTAATTTTTTGTATATTTGAAATTTCCTTCTTATCTTCTATTTGTTTTATCCCATACAATCCGTTTAGTCAACAAAATCCCATAAAATCGTTTTAAACTTTTTGTAGATTGAAATTGAAATTTCCTTCTTATCTTTTTACCAAAAATTTTATTATTTATGTATTGAAATTCTGTAATCCAATTTCAGATTGTATCATTAAAAATATATTATAGTTATATTATCAAATCATAAAAAGATACTAAATCCATATTGTAAAAAATATAATTCATATAATTTTATAACAATTCTACAACATTATTTAACAGTATTCCTTTTTATTATATAATGATATAATAATTAAATATTATATAGTGAACAACAATAAGTAAAAGTGTAAAACTGTTACTTTCTCTTATATCAAGGGATAAATTTATATGTCAAAATTAAATTTTTATTAATATAAATGTTTTAGTGAGATAATATATTCATTATTTTACAAGACAGCCCTAACATGCTAATATTTAATGTTCTGGCTAAAAAAACAACGCTGATTAAAAGATGTGGAAAAAAACTTATAATAACCTATTGTTTTAGATGTGGAAAAAAACTTATAATAACATATTGTTTTTTAGACTTAACGTTGATTAGAGATAGAAAATAGATAATAATCCTATTATTTTTTAGACTTAAACGGACAAGGTATGAAAATAACTTATTTAATAACTTTGTCCCGTGCATTACACGTACTAGTTGAGTATTAAGTGGTGAACCAATATTGATCTTCTAGAAAAATTAAAAAGAAAAAAAGAAAAAAGAACAAACAGATAAAAACATCCCTTTTATCCTACTCCATCTTGCTTGGCGTTATACAAACCACACATATATAATGATCCCAATAGAAATTTTATTTTTCTCGGCTTTCATTCGATAATGGCCATCTCCGGTTCTTTGCAGCTGTTGTCTCTTGATCTTGGAATTCGCAGCAACAGCCGGCGCAGCAAACGATTTCGAGTGGGGATTTTGTTTTTTGCCAAAAAAAAAATAAAAATAAAAATAAAAATCTTGAAGTAATTTTTGCTTGACATGACTTTTTCTTAACTGTATCGTATTTCAAGTTGCAGAATTCGAGAACCAGAAGCAAAATGCAGTTGCTGGACACTACTGAATTCTCATCGTCGTCGCTGGTACTTCACAATTTTTGTGTGAATTTAGTTTTTCGCTACAGCTTGCTTGAACCTTTTTCCAGAAAAGAATTCGTTTGTATTTTACTTAGTTTTCGTGTCGGTGATCTGGTCTCGGTTGCATCATTATCTTCTCGGCGAATCAAAGTCAGTCTTCAGATGCATTATCCCAACTGGTTTTAAACATTTTTGTTTCAGTAACGCATTTATTTTTACTGGTTTTCGAAATTCCTGATTTTCCCCCACTTTTTATGCTAAGGGCTTAGTTGAGAAATTTTCACATTTTCTTGCTATTCCTCCGGTTTTTGGGTAAATTAGATGAATTTATATATATGTCTCTCTTCACAGTTCTATTTTCAGTCATCTAGTTGTGGGAAGATTGACCTTGTTTCTGAATAAAGCTTAACATTGATCTGTATATTACATTTTTCTTTTTTTTTTTTTTGGTTATTTTCAGTTGCATTTTCCTTGGAGTACAAATATCTCGAAGAGGATACATAGACGAGGGTGCACCTTCTCCTCCAGAAATCAGCAATTTAAATGTCAATGTTCTTCTCTAAACAAAGGCCTCTCTGTGGACATTACTTTTGTGAAGGATGTCACCTTAACTTTAACAGGGTAATTACCTTCAGTGGTCTAGATGGTTATGTTTACTTATTTGGTTCAATCCGAAAAGATAATCAGGAGCTGCATGCTTGTAGGGAGATATTCATCAGTTTCGAATGGTTGTTTTATCCATGTGATACACCTCAAAATTTATATCTGAAGGCACTGTACAAGGTCCTTAGCTATATACGCTATGAAAATAGACCTTGCACTGAATTGTACACATAACTGTGGGTAGGATGATTGTTCCCAAATCGAGTCATACATTCAGAATATGATGAAATGCTTGTAACATTTCAACATCTAAGCGATTGTGAGAATGGGATTAAAAGAAGAGCTGCTAGAGTAGTTTTATACTAATTGATGTACTTGCGAGTTTCTCTAATGTATGGAATTTTAAGGAAAAACATATTCCTGTTGAAAATAATAGGCTTTAGCAATTGGCTCAATATTTTTTCTTTTGACTATGTTATGCCAGATCCGGCTCTAGATCTCATTAAGGATAACCATGCACATGTTATAACAATTATAGATATATTTTATTAATAATCTATTCTTGATTTGTGAATACGACTATATGTTATATTTGGATGTGTTGACATTTTCACTTTGTATTGTGTTCATGCAAATATTTCCTAATTTGATCTCTGGATTATGACATGTCTTAATTAAATGGGATGCGTCTTTGGTTCTTGCAGTTCAATTCCTCGTTTGCAAGGAAGTCCACTTGTCATCAAATTAGCTTCATCCATCGGTATTGTCGTTTTTGCAATATGGGGAATTGTGCCACTTGTACGAAAAAGCAGAAACATATTTCTGAGAGTATGCGCTCCGACTATCTGGTTTTTGCATGTTCTGGTCCAGAAATCATTTTTCTTGTCACTATAGTTTAGTCTCCTTGTGTAGGAGAATGACAACAGTTGGATAAAGAGCAGCACGTATCACGTAACCACCTCTTATGTTCAGCCTTTACTGCTGTGGGCAGGAGCAATCTTCATCTGCAGGTTAGTTGTTCTCTGACCGAGAAATGAATAAAGAAAATTCTGATTTAGTAACATACGGAATGAAACCAAGTATCTTGCAGAGCTTTGGATCCAGTTACTCTTCCCTCACAAGCTAGTCAAATTGTTAAGCAGCGGCTCCTAAATTTTGTCAGATCGTTGTCAACGGTGCTGGCCTTCGCACAGTGTTTGTCGAGGTCATTGCCATTATCTCTTCTTTTATGCTAGATAGGGTTCAAGATTTTTTTTTTTTATTCAATTTGTTAAAGATTTCTTTCGTTCTGTGTTATTACTTAAATCTCCCTTTCCTTATAGTTTGCATGGTGTTGTTGAGGTCCTTCAGGGTGACTTGTGGAACCTGCATCTGGCACAAAAAGCTTTACCGTTAACAATGTTTTTTGTCTTCTTTCTGTTAACGACCTTATATTCAACACACATTAAATGTAGATTTGTTCGTGTCTGTTGTCTACTTGTCTAATATATAAGTGCACTCAAATGAGTGATTTCTGTGATACATTATATCGATTACTTAATGCTACTTTCACAATAGTATTTTGCATTCTCTATTCAATTTATACAATCTCAAACTTATCTCCTTCAACCTAGGAAATTTGTGTTATTGGTATAGTTAGTGAACTACTAATGGCTACACATTTCCGCAGTTTTGTTTATCAATGATTTAGTTCGTTATTGCATTTTCTCCTTTTTTTTTATTGATCGTTCATACTATGAAGACTTAGCTTTTTGTGAGTCAGTATGTCTCACCAATAGTATCGACTACTCACATTCTTGCATGACACATACACTTCAGGAAAAACTAAGCATTGTTGATTATTTTGTGCAGTGTAATTCAACAGTCACAAAAGTTCTTCATGGAGACAAATGATACAATCGACACTAGAAATGTATGCCCCAACTCTTTGTTTCCACCTTCAATTAACAGAATTTTCAATATCTATTCTAATTATTCAGTCCTCGCTGCTCTTTAACTATTTTAACCCTATTATTGAGTAGAATAATTGCTCTACCACAAGTCTTGTTTATCAGTGTAACTTGATTCAAGTAAAAAGTTCAAAATGTACAAGGTTACTTTGATCTTGTAAAAGCGTAAACTGAATTGTTTTATTTTCTGAATTTTGAGAATATGTTAAAAATATCCAAATATGTCCAGCTAAACTGCCACATTTGAGTGTTTGGAATTTTAAAATCTCAGGTACATAAGGCTTGGAGCACCCTTACAACTTCAATTGAGTGTTAATTATGAGATTTTTATTTCTAAGGAAAGACCGAAAGTGAGAAACAGTAAAAGTTGTATGCTTGAAACATCCAAGACAATTCCTTAAACTGGAGATACTTCCATTTATTAAGTTCCCTTTACAAATATCTTTCTCTGCTTCATCCCAGATGGGATTCCAATTTGCTGGCAGAGCAGTATACACAGCTGTATGGGTTGCAGCTATATCATTGTTCATGGAGTTGTTAGGCTTCTCGACCCAAAAATGCATCACAGCAGGAGGACTAGGGACCGTTTTGCTCACTCTTGCTGGGCGTGAGGTGTAAATTAGTCTTGGTTCAATGCTTAAGTATTTTGAGATTATTATTTTTCTCATTTTCATTTACCATTTTTTTTTCCCTTAATTTTGATATGGTTTTGTCACCTCCTCAAAAGCATATCATTTGTCATTTTCAGATTCTCACAAACTTTCTCTCAAGTGTGATAATTCATGCAACACGTCCATTTGTAATGAATGAATGGATTCAGACAAAGATTGGCGGTTATGATATTTCTGGGACGGTTGAGGTGTGTAAAAGGTTTTCAACATCCAAATCACAAATTTGGTAATTAATCTTACTAGCACATTATATATTTATATTTTTGCAATTTGAACTTGGAAGCATGTGGGATGGTGGTCCCCTACTATAATCAGAGGCGATGACCGTGAAGCTGTCCACATTCCTAACCACAAGTTCACTGTGAATGTTGTAAGAAATCTGAGTCAAAAAACTCACTGGCGTATTAAGACTCACCTGGCCATCAGTCATTTAGATGTTGGCAAAGTTAATGTGAGGACAATCATTTTTGTTGTTTCATTTTTTGTCTGTAAAGGATTTGAGTCAACTCTTGTGCTGCATTTGGTTATTTTTATCTAAAGTGTCTTGTATCTCACTGGGCAGAACATTGTAGCCGACATGCGCAAGGTTTTGGCTAAAAATCCTCAAGTAGAACAACGGAAATTGCATAGAAGAATATTCTTGGATTACATTAATCCAGAAAATCAAGCTCTCACGGTAACTTTTTTCCTAATTATTGAATAATGCGTATTTTTTAGTGCTTTGATTATTCTGTGGTTTTCTGGTCTCACGATAATCTTCATTAGCTATCTCATTATATAACAGATAATGGTGTCCTGTTTCGTGAAGACCTCACGTTTTGAGGAATACTTGTGTGTTAAGGTGCGTGTGCATTCTTCACCTAAATAAGGCCATGCAAATCACATCATTCAACGTGTGTCCCATTATTAAAATTTGTTGCGTATATTTTGTCAATTTTTTCGACTGAAAACAGGAAGCCGTACTCCTCGACCTTCTCAGGGTCATTGCCCACCACCATGCTCGACTGGCTACTCCAATCCGTACAGTCCGAAATGTATACACTGATGCTGACTTGGACAGCGTACCATTTTCAGACTCGTTCACACGTGGGGCCACCTCAATCCAACCATTACTGCTAATTGATAAAATCAACGGAGAAGATAAGACCAAAATTCAAACTCAAAATCAAACAGAGGCAATTATTGATCATAACAAGAAAGACGCGCTTGCATCATCAAATGACAAAAGTGTTCATGCCATGAACTCGAATTCCCATTCTAATCCCAAAACCGACAATATTATTGCACCCAAGTCACAGTCTGTTGCAGCTGCTAAACCGTCGCTAGAAGAAAATATTGTGCTTGGAGTTGCTTTAGATGGATCGAAAAGGACATTGCCGATTGACGAGGAAGATCAGATGATGACATCAGCACCGAATACGGAGGAGGATTCAAAAGAATTGGCTGTGGCTGAGAAGGGAAAAAATGATTCCAATAGATCTACTGGCCTTGGTTCAACGTCTGGTAGGCAGATAGACGAGCAAGAATAGAGGGTTTTAAGGACTCTTAAAATGCATATATAAAAGTTTTTAAGTTGAATACTAGGAGGTTTAGTAGTGTTTTGTAGGTGCTGTTTGTATTTCCTACCATTCGCGTGTCATAAATTTTAGAGGAAACGGTACGCGTGATGATCAGCACCTTGCCCCGGCACCTGGTGTATCACTAGGTGTTGTTGGTACTGTAAATATATGTTTTTAACACTCAGTTCCTAGATTTGTTCCAAGTCTGTTGTATGAAAACGTTGGTTGTTGTATACTTGTATGCACGGTTTTTCTAATAAGAATAAAGAAAAGAAAAGCAAAAAATAAAAAAATAAAAAACAACTATTACAGAAAGGCTTTGAAAACTATTACAGAAAGGCTTTGTGCAATTCCGGCTTTGTTTTCCATGATACTAAATACTGATCAAAATCGTCTCTTGCTAGTTTGTTTTCTTTCTTTTCTTTTATTTTTATTTTTTTTTTATCAAAACATTGATTTTAAAAGTTTGTTGCTTGAAGTGTATATTACTTGATATATGATTGCCCCGAGTCAAATCTGCTCCGTTTTTTTTTTCCGTTCATATATCAGTACCAAAAACAATAGTACAACTTATACTTAAAATAGTATCGCCATCTGATTTACGGAACTAACTTCAGTGGTTACAGGTACCGATAAAGGCTAAATCCGACCCATTGGATAATCCGCTCAACAAGAACTTACACAATATACTACTCAAACTTAGCAACCATGTGAACCCAAAGGTATAAGTAATATAACATACAACAAGAATGTAATGAGTTCTGTTCTCATTGTCAAACACAAACTCCAACAAACAACATTATCCCAGATGGAACATTACAGAAATTCCTAACTATCCAAGAACCTCAAATTTCACACCAAGAATATATTACGAGCCGACATTAAATACACCAGTCTCCGAAAACCCAGATGAATTCCTTCTGTATGTCTTTCGAGCAACTCTATAACTAAACAAAAGAGAAGCCGTACCTTATTCCAGAAGATATTACAAGCCAGAAACAGTAGGTTAATGTGTAATCAATCAGGAGCAGGTTAATGTGTATATTGACTGTTGCAGGCAAACAAATCTCCTCAAGCATTGCACATGCAATCAGGAGCAGGATATGTGTATATTGACTGTTCGGGTTTACGTAGCCTGAGCTGCCCTTGTCTGTTCTTGTGCCCTTCAACAACAGAATTTTCAAACTCTGGCCAATTTAGGCTCTTGTTCAGGAAAAGCTGGCCCAACAATGCCATGTTAGGCCTTATGGTTTTCTTATTTTCGTACGTACGATGGCCCACCTGGTTGTTCAAGGTTAAAAATTACATAAGCTTTCCCAAAAAACGTAGAGAAGATTTTAAACTCGACAAATCAATGCATGACTAACATATTAATACAATGGCAAATTGAAAATTGCAATATAGATGTGGTTTCTGGTAATTCATGTTTCATGCACGCTTCCCGCCCAATCTTAATTGACTTGCTGCCATCAGATATGTCACGTACAATAAAATCTAAAATCATCTCCTCAAAGTAGTTTAAACCAAAGCTTAATATATATAATTCACTAGCGCTGAAATGACAGCTTACCACGGCATTATGCATATTTCCAGGCGAAGCTGAAATGAAGATATCACTGTGAATGCTGACATAATAATCAACAGCAGCTAACAGTGAAGCCTTTCCATTAATTTGAGCTCTTTCCTCTGAGGAGGCTAGGCTCTTTTTGTCTTCCATAAAAGGAAACAAACTTCGTAAGGTTGAGATTCTAGCTTCCCCGCCATACACCTGAAATAAAAAATAAAAAATAAAAAATAAAAAATAACATTCAGCAGCCTGAAGGGGTTATAGAAAACCTCAAGTCTTTTATTTTTCTTTTAAATATTGAACATAATCAGAGGTTTAAGCGAGTTGAGTTGATGAAATAAAAATTAAAGAAGAAAATTTCTTTTGGACCTTGTGGGAAGCAAGATATAAGCGAGTTGAGTTGTTGAATCCTAAAGCTGCTAGGAGCAAACCAATTTCTTCGGGAGTCAAAGGGCACCGTCCTCGACTCCTCAACTCCTCATCCGTAAATTGAGAATTTAAAACTCTGCCCTGCCATATAACCTGTCTGTACTTTGCCAGAGCCAATTTTTCAGCCTTACCTCCACCGAAGTCACATGCTGAGTGAGCAGCCATATCCTGTCAGGAGAAAGAATAAATAATAAAAAGATTATTCATTCAAGAAGAAGGCAAAACTGATGCTCAAAACATTTTCCTTTCCAAGTATTTTTGTACCTACCTTATTATGGGTAATTATGGGACTAACCTTGTAATTTCACCCAATTAAGGAAAAAAAAAAAAAAACTTTGGGTTTGGGGGCACCGGCAATCTTGAAATATAGTTCGGTTGTTTTAACAACCTTGAGTGTGTACTTTAACAATTAATTAGCACTCTATATAGACAAGGCAAAGTTTAGCACATAGAGCTGTAGATACAAATGTGTAAGGTTAAAAATTTTCAGTGACCAGAACTCAATGGTAATAGAGAGCAAGCATACCTTGTCAAACCGAAGATGGAGAACCACAAACTTTCCGGTCCCTTTCTTGTCCATAACATCACCGAATTTTCCAAGGTAGTTATTCCTGCCCACTTCATGTGTGTTCGGAGACTGTCTAAGACGACTCACAAGAGCATCTCCAAGAGATTTGATGTGGGGAACAAAAACTAAGGCCTGAAAGTTGACTTTACAACGCAGCCGTTGGATTTCCTCAGGCATATTGTCAAAGGCCAGACGATGTGAGAATGGTGCAATTGCAGCAATTCCATAGCTGGTCAAACCAAAGATACTAGAGTTATATACCAACATAAATATTAAAAAAAAATGACTAGTCGGCCTTAGAACATGAACTGTGCATCTTTTGAGTTTTTTCATGTCACTAATTACTATCACTAAATGTATAAATCAAATCAAGCCCATTAGACCCAGAATGACATTTGACCTTTCGGATTATCTGAACCACTGTTGCCCAAACCAATTACGAAATTCATGACACACACACAAGATTTACATGCTAGTAACAAAAGAAGTGGATATTGGGAACATGCAGTCAGGATCATTATGACAAACTTACAAAAACTAACATACATCAAGGAAAAATAATCTCCTATTAACCAACCTCTCTAGGACAGGCAATACATTCTCTAGATACCAGTGGGCCGATGCATGAACAGGTGCTGTTTTCACTCTGGTGGCTCGAATTGCGGTGGCATAATACTCCCGTGTGCTCCAATAATATTCATCCGGCAATTCTTTAACAACAGATATGTCGTTTTTCAATACATTAATGAATTGATCCACATCAAATATATCCATAAACGTGCTGGAGAGAGAGAGAGAGAAAGAGAGAGTAAATATCATTTAGTCATTGTCAAATAAAAGAAACGTTCTGACATGATAAGAGATTATTAAGTCATGGACAAATAAAAGAAATGTCCTGACATGATAAGAGATTATTATGAAAGGTATGATCGAGCCACTTGATGGATACCTTGAATCTTGCCACACCGGATTTACTTCAAGATGAGGAATTATGAGAGTTGCATTCAGTATTTTGGCAACAGCAACTGCATCACAAATCTTTGCAACACAAACAGACACATATCAGTTGCTGAGAGACAACTCATATTAACTAGTCAAGAAAAGGTTCTCTAGCTATGCCTATAGCATCTAGTAATCATCACTTTGAAATACTCACACCCATCCTTTGCTGATTTAGTCCCCCGTCAAGGAAGACCTGAATATATCCCCGAGATTTCTCTGGCAACGCTGCTTCACATCAGACGATAATGTCACAAAAAGGAAAGAAGAAAGAAAAAGAAACCAAAAAAAAAAAAAGAAACTAATAGAAACCAGCTAAAATGTTAGAAACTTACAGGAGGTTCGGTCAGATCTAGCACAGGGTTTCAGTCGTTGATGGGCCAAAGGCATCCATAGATCAGCCTGTCTTCTTTCAGGCTAAACAAACAGAAAACAACAGATGACTTTAAGACTAGTTATATTAGTAATTACCAATTTTTTGGTCGTAGGTACATCTGCAAAATAAATGAGTTAAATTTTACTCACAATCTGGCGCTGTAAGGCACTCTTAAGTAATCGAGAGTGTCTAGGTTTAGGGGCATTCCACTCCTGCATTAAATAAAGAGCCCATGAGATATACCAAGGAAAAAGAAAAGCAAGCCTCCTCTAACATACAAGAAGTATAGTCGGTTGGTTAAATTATATAGAATGCAAAATTCCTTATCAATTTGTTGTTAGTTCATCTGATATCAGTCCAATCGCGCATGAATTAGAACCCGGTAGAGCTGTTCCTCTGAATATAACTAGAAATATACATCTTGATTTTTCACCCACTTCATGATAATTAAGTATATTTTCCCTGACCTTTCCTTATTTTAACCTTCTAACAATTCATAGAACATAGTAGATAGAATAAGCAAGCAATCCATTGCGCCTAATAATAGACACAATATCTTCTTCAGTTTCTTCTGGAAAGACTTCCATGTGTCAGATAATAAGCAAACACAGCAGCATACATTCAGTCAATCATGTCCAAATCAACTAAACCTGGCACTCCATGCTCCAGCAATTTGTAACAAAAAAACACTCTTCCACTATATCCTTTTCAGCTACCATAGCTTAATTTCAAAGTTAATGCCCATCCAAATCCCATCAACTATCTTTTTTCAGCCACAGTGACTAAAATTCAATGACACAGCCTATACATATGCTTCCTCCTCTCAACTAAGATAATAACAAAAGATATCAAAAGCAAAATCACAATATAGGAAACCCAGATGCACACAATATACACAAATCACATTACCTGTAAAGACAAGAAAATAAAAAAATAAATATAGGAAAGAAACGAAAACACACACACACGAGCCCGCGCAGATGCCCAAGTTCTAGAACATACCGAGAGAACAGAGGGAAAAGCATGGCCCAAAGGCGTGAAAAGATTAGGGAAAATGAAAGGTACGAGCAGCACAAGAGCACCAGCCATGGCTACGCCCCTTTGGCTATCACTATGTGAGGGATGGACTTGCCTCATTATCAACAATAATGACTCTTGATATTTACTGGACCAGCAGCAGCGGACTATTTATATCGCAAAGTACCTCACAAATACCAGAAAAAATAAATGCACTACAGTAGTAGCTCATACGACAGGAAAAAAACAACAAAATGCGAATAAAAACCGCATTTATCTTTCGTTAAAACAATTGCGATGGGAAATTTACACACTCTAACAGGTCCTCTCTGACAAGCAATTAATACCCCCAAAAAAAATAGTGCTGTGAGTAACAGCACATTGAATCGCTCATCCCAATAATATCGTGGAAACTTAACAGCGCATCTGTAAAAGGAAATTATGAAGGACACACACAGACTACAGGTAATAAACACAGCAGCGTTGATAGAGATGACAAGTGTAGTACAAGAAACAGCTCGATTGAAATCGAAAGGGAATTTTGTAGGGTAGGGGGTGAAAGTGCAATTAATTATAATATTGGGGCTGTCCTTTTCAGAAAGGGACCGCCAGCAACGGATAGATTTATAGGAGAGAGAGCAGAGGGCACCGCTTTGAGGGGTTGTACGTGTCGCTAAAAGACTGAATATTGCGTTGTGTCTTTACTTTTCGTGAGTCTTTCCTTTGGAAGTGTTCGGCGATGGAATAATCTGCTGAGGTTTTCTTGGATTCGGACCTTTGATCTTACAATCGGTGTCGTAATAATTGTGTGGTGTAAAAACATTTTTTAAACCCATGAAAAATGAACAGATTTGATTGAAAATTCTACATAAAGTTAGGGCTAGTATTTGTCACATGAAAGGCATATGGTACTGTAAGATTTTATTTTCATTTTTCGAAACAAAAATAGAGATTTTCATTAAAAAAACAAGCATGAGTTTGATAATTGATCCAAAACACTACCAAAAGCTTAATAAAATATATGCGAAGTCCACACACTCGGGTGGCATAGAAACAATTCAAAGCAATTGAAACAAGAGCTAGGAAGGCATCAACATCTTCCTAGAATCCTTATGATGCTTGGATATAAAAAAATTTGGATTTGTTTGGATTTTTTGGTTTAGTATGGTTAATCTATTACTATATAATAGAGAGAATAAAAAAAGTTAGAAAAATTATTTCATTTTACCGCTCAAATCATTTTTTTCCCTCTAATATTCTGTTTGAAATTTATTCGAAAATTTGAATTTTTTTAATTCCAAAATTCAGTATGTTTTGGATGAGTTCAATATGTTTTGGATGAGATTCCTTCTATATCGGATAAATTCAAGTTCCTTTTCATTTGGAAAACAGATTTTTATTTTAGCAATATATTTGACTTCCTTTTTTTTTAACCGATTATGTTGATCTTCTGTTTAAAATTGAAAAAAAAAAATTAATTAAAGGATGTACCAATTTCCTAAACATGATAAAAACATATCACTTCAAATATTTTTTAAAATTGAGGATTCCAACTACTACGATTAGTGTGATTAGTACTAACTGATTTTGTTAAATGATATCTTCATTGATTCATCCCAACACGTTTGATAGGTCAGGTTATGAGTCAGTTATGATGCATAAAATCACACAATAGTGACTATTTAATATAAAACTATTTAGAATATAACAATTCAAAAATTGAGAATCCCATATAATGTAGGCTCAAAAACTACAAATTGATTTATTCCAAAAATTGAGGATTTCATATACTACAAACTAGTGCAGAGCCCGTGCATCGCACGGGGTGCACAATCTTAAGGCTATTTATCTAGGCTTATAATTATATACATGAATAAAGTAAAATGTATGGGATATATATAATACGTGACCCGTACGAGGAACGGGATATATTTATTTGGGAAATATTATATTATAAGATGCAATATTAAATAAAAGTGTTATGATATGTAAGAAAATTGTACAATAAGATAGTATTTGACAAAGAAACAATCATATATTATTAAAGACCTCCTTGTATACAACATTATGAGTTTGATTATTGGACAACTCGTCATTCTCACAAACTAAACATGTACAAAAAAGCAATCATAAAAAATCAGTTTGTTTAAAAAACATAAATAATGCAAATATCTAAATATATACACGATTTCTAGAAGAAATAAGGAAAATTCTAAATTTTAAAAATAAAATAAAAAAATAAAAAATATACGTTTCATATTTCGAAATAAAAAAAAGAAGTAAAAATAATTTGGCTTATAGTTTTATCGTGCATAACCAACTCGAGATAGGATTTGTACGTGCTGCCCCAATCTTGTAAAAACATTCTTACAATTAAAACTTTAAGCATAGGTCTATTAACCTATGAAATTGTTTGATTAAGCAAAATCCTTGATTCATTGTTTTGAATGAAAGACTGATTGGAGATATTTTTTTCGCAGGAGGTTGAAAGTGAGGAAGACGATGGCTCAATATTTTGAGATTTATAATTTATAATTAGTAGAGTAGAATCAATATCTATTAAGATTTTTAAGAAATAATCTTGATATACGAAAATCACATTATATGTAGAGGAACAAATCAGATCATATTTTTCATACAATTAGATAAGATTTTTTGTACAAAGATAAGAAAGAATTTTAAATCTACACAAACTATAAATATTAAATGTATTGATTTACGTAAATCAATATCTATATAGACAACCAAACCCTTCAATTTAGGTTTGACATCTGATTTATTTTTGGTAAAATCATGATTTTATCATTCGATCAAATCTGCCTTTTTTTTGTTTTACGTACATTTTTTTTTTGTATCGATTTTATGGGAAAAAACAATTAAATAAAAATTAATTGATAGAAATAGAATGCATTAATTACCTTTGACTTTTCTTCCTACTAATTCTAGTAAATGGGATGGCCTCTTTCTACACTTTTAATTAATTATTGGCAGATTCATACCAGTATATATTAAATTATTTTCAATAGATTTATACCAGTATATATTAAATTATTTTCGACAGATTTACAACAGATACTACGTGTATTGTACGGATATTAGTGTATAATACGGATTTGGATACCATAAAAAAGGATTTGCATCAATCATATACAATGAAATAAATCCCTCCACAAAAAAGGGGAAAAGTTGAGTCCAAATTGTGAAAAAATTAATGCAATGGCGTGAAAGAAGGATTTATTACATATTATCTGTTGCAGTTAATGCTCGCTATTTATTAGGCCGAAATTAATGCAATGGCGTGTAACAAAAATAGCTCATATAGAATGATTTTATGATAATTAATTCGGTGTAATTAATGAAGCGTGTGAAAAGGACATAAAACTTGCTGTTTTTGGAAAAAAAATTAATGCAAACCAGACTTTAACCATACATTGACCTACTAATTTTGATAAATGTTAATTCTTATTATATATATATAGATTGATTTATTCTACAAATAATTCGCAATTTTACGGTTTAAATAATACAATATGTACATCATTTCCCTTAAAAATTTGATCAACCAAAACGATTTTGATGATAATTTTTCAAATTGATATGTATTCCTTTTGAATATCAGAAAGATTTTTAAATAAATATTAGTTAATAAAATTTAAAATTTGTAATTTAATTTTAGAGAATTAGTTGATAAATTTGAACAATAAGGTAAACGAAAAAAAAATCTAAAAAATTGCGAGATAATATGTATAAGGAATTTATTGTGTAGTCTAAATTTGGTTTCCAAATTTAAAAGTCAAATAAGTTATTCTTAATAACTTACGGGATAGTATTAACTTGGACGTAAATAGAATAATCAATTATTTATAGTTTAATAAATTACTCAACTACTTAAATTTTTTATTTAGATAGTTTATACAAAAATAAATTCATTTTAATTAATGAAATAATATAGTTTTATAACTGTACTTATTATTCACATAGATTTTTAAATATTCATAACATTTTAACAAAATTATTATTTTGTGGAGTTACATTGTAGTTAAATTGAATTTCTGAATGAAAATTTTAAAATGACGGTTATTTTGAAATTATATTGTAATTTATTATCAATTGCGTGCACCGTACGGGTTGTGTACTAATTTTAAATAAAATTTTTTTTATAATTTTGCACAATTTAAATTTCATATAACATTTTCAATAAATTTAATATAGGTGAATTGTATTACAATTGATTCCATATTTTTAAGATATAAATATTATTTAATGTGTATTTTTAATTTATAAATATTAATAAATATCTCATACCCGTGCATAGCACAAGATTCGTATTAGTTAAAGAAAATAGAACCAAAATAAACAAATATTTAATTATTTATATAAGAAATAGAAAAGTGTTACTATATGGTATCTAATCTCCCTAATAAATATCTCCTACTCGTGCATAGCACGAGATTCGTACTAGTTTTGAAAAAGGTGGTATGGTTAGTTGTTAGTGGATACATTAAAATAATATTTAAAATAAAATAACTAAAGTTGATTTGATGTAAAAGTATGAGAGAGAGATTTGAAGTAATTGTTAGTTAAAATTATGTGAGTGGATGAATAGTGAATTAAGGTTGATGTGATATGTAAGAATGATTGGTTGATATTAAATATTATATTAATAATATTAATGATAGTTGGGTTGAATTAAAGTTGAGTTAAAAAAAGTGGTTGAGTTAAAAATGTTTGAATTTTTTGGATAAATTTTGTATCCAAGCATCCTTAGTTTCAATCTCAGAGATACTGGAGCAAAATGAGTTGGAGTGGGACCATGTAATCTAGTCAGGACCGTCTCCAGAAATTTGGAGGCCCCAGACAAATTTTTACGCGTGGCCCGTAATCGTACTTCTATATTTTAAAATTTTTAATTGAACAAATAATGTTAAACATTGCCAATATTAAATTCAAAAATACAATGAATATGAGAAATAAAAGTAAACTAAAATAACAAAATCTTACAACCTTCTCGTGTTCTTTTGTGCACAAATTTTCGATCAAGTCATCACTATAATCAAGTTTCAAAACTATTTTGGTTTCTGCATTCGGCAAAGATCGTATGTAGAGTTTATCATCTGAAACTCCTACCTTTATCGTTAATAGAATATACATTAGTAACTCTAGTCACCATTTCTGGAAAAAAAAAAAAAAAAAATCTTTGGGGCATATTATCCTCCCAATATCCGGAATCGAACAAGTCATCTGAATTTTACAATTAATATCTAGGTTATCATTCATATTATCGATATCATTTGCATTCTTTAGCTTATTATTTTCTTCTTAAAAAACTTCAACCCCTCTATCATTATCATCTAAATAATTTTGATATATTAAATCTCGATCAACTCAACTATGGGTGTATCTGGTATTTTCTGCACAATTTCAATAGAATCAAACACATCAACTTCAACTACAGAAGAACTGAGTTTTACGTACTTATCCATTCATCAGGTGAGAGACTTTGTTAGTATCTCTTATTTTTCTTTCTTTTCCTTTTCAAACATCCCGAATCGAATTTGCGTTTGCCCATCATAGCTCATATAAGAAATCTAATCATAATATAATATATTAATAAGTTTAATCACAATAATAATTAACAAAAATTATAAATTAAAAGAAAAGTAAATACATAAAATATACTTAGTACAAAAAAATTGAATCAGAAGCTTGAATTTCTATATGTAATACGCTAAGTTAAAAATAATACGCTCTAAGTGATTTGAATCAAGAATTACTATGCTCCATAATGTATTTTATTTTTCTTTTGAGGAAACTTGAAGGAGAAAAGAGGAGCCCCAATTATTTTAATATCTATAACTTTTAACTAGCATTAATAATTTTGTAAATGGGCCAAGCCCAAAC